ACAGCTGGCACACATGGATGGTGCCGGACCCTGCGCTGAGCTCCTGGGTCTCGGCTGGTATTGCTGCATGCAGTAGATGACAGAGCTGCCCTTTGGGCTCACCCTCTGCGCTCTCAGGTAAAGGCACATCGGGGTCTGGAGGTGTGGGGCAGGGAACGGAGGGGCCTGGCTGGTGCTGGAGGTCTGCCCCACTGTTTGGGGAGAGTCTCCAGATAACTTGTGTGTTTGGGGAAGGAGCTGGTGTGAAGCTGTGCTCTTGCCGCTCCAACAGCAATGCACGTCTGGCTGCTTGCTGCGGAGCTGTTGTCTGCCTAACTCCTGTCCTGGGTCATCTCCAAAGATGCTGTAGTCCTGCCTGTTGGATGCAGCACTGCAAACGGCTGATGAGGCTGTGCCTGTGCTCTACGTCCATCTCCAACCTGCCTCTTGCATCTCCCTGTGCTCTCCTCGCCACCCTCCCTGTGTAGTAGCTGTGCTTGGTGCCAAAGCTGACAGAACAGTGCTGGACCAACGCAGCTTCCTCGTGGCCGCGGTGAGAGATGCCAGCTCCAGACCAACAGGGCAGACCTTGGGATGCAGGCGTGCCACAGTTCCTCCCCAGCCCCCTTTGTCATTGTGTGCTCTGCCCTTGGGGAGCTGGTGGGGAGCAACTGTCCAGCAGCATGGGAGTCCACAAGCTCCCAGTTTTCCGCTGTGAGGTTGGGTTTCTGCATGCAGGTGCTGGAAGCAACTGGCAGCCTTTCCCTGGAGATGGCCCCTGCTGTGCTGCTGTCTGCTCCTCCCTTGTCCTGCCTGGGTGGCAGGGCTGGAGCTGGGTAACTGACACTCCCAGTCTGAACTCATTCTGCAGGCAGCTAACTGAGCAATGAGGGCCGTGCCCGGGACCACAGGCGTCAGGACAGAGCTATCATCTCTGGCCAGCAATGTCCCTGCTGCAGCCTCCATTTTCTTGTGTCCTTCAGGGTGCAGGTATCCCATGGGAAAGCAGGAGAAGGCCTGAGCTCGAGGGAGCTCCTGTCCTGTGCTTGCTGTTCGTTCTGTGGCTCTGCCTTCCCAAGGGTGGCACAAGCAGTGCCTTACTCTTGCTTTACTCCCCAGCAGCTTTTGTAGCACCCCTGTGGCCGTTCCGGACAGACGGCCCCGATGCTCCTGCAGGCCGTTGATGTGGCTGCCTGGAGGTGCCCGGGAGCCAGCTGGGCTCGAGGAGCGCGGGCGCTCCTTCCGCTCTGTCGCGCCTTTCATAGCCGATGGGGAGCTCTGCGCTGATGACGAGGGCTTGTCTCAGAGGAGCAGTACTGGTGTGGCAGCCCTTCTGACACTGCTGCAGGCACGGGGAGCGCTGCATGAGCTCCCGGGCACCCGCCTTGGCACCTCGGGCTGGTGCTGGGGCTCTCGGGGCACTTCTGCCCTGGCTCCAGGGCTGCAGCAGTAGTACAGCTTGGGGGTGCAGGGCTGTGATGTGTTGGGCCGTGCTATCTTTGTGTGCTGGTGCCTGCCTGTGTCTTCCCCCTCCCCCTGCCTGCTTTCCCCCACATCAGCCTGCATTTGTAAAATGAAATAAATATTGACATGGACAGGATGCTATTCAATTTGTCCTGATCACTGGGCTGCGGTGAGTTCTGACAGAGCACGGTGTAAAACATAAGCTCAGGATGTAATTTCTACTGTCAACATGATGTACAGTATGGCTTTGCCAAGTACACACCAACAAACTGCACAAGCTTTTGTGGGGAGGGGGGGAGCTGTGCTGATAATTGGGAAGCGGGGATGACAGAGCAGCAGACGGGAGGGCACCACCCTGGGCGCAGGGTGCTCTGCTGCGTGAGTGCCAGCCTGGCTGGCCCAGCAAGCGCCTGGGCACGCTGCTGCGGGGCTGCATCTGCACCCCGCCCCCCCACGCACCAGCC